GAGCTGATGCCAGGGGCTTAAGTGGAGAGCAAATGTTTTGAGAATGATGAGGGCAATGAATGTCCAATTGTGCTTTATACAATTGATGTACATATGTGATGAGAGTTGTATGAGCCCCTAGTAAAGTGATTTAAAAAAGAAGAATGGGCTCAAACCGAACAACAATTGTGAGGAGGGTGTAGAACCGGGCAGTCTTGCAAACTGGTGTGCAAAGGGCCACTGTGAGGTGGAACCTACTTGATGTCACCAAACAACAGCCACAACAACAACATGAGTTGGAATTGACTCAACAACAGTTGGGAGATTCAGTTTCACGAATGGTCCACAAAACAAAATACAAAAAACACTTCGCGTCCTGGTGCTCATGGTTCTAAAGGTGTGTGTCAGGGCTGTATCCTCTAGCATACTGACTCTATCTGTCCGCTGAGCCAAGCATCAGAGAAGCCGGATTATATGAAGCCAAACGGAGAATCGGGATTGGAGGCAGGCTCACCGACAACCTGAGATACGCAGATGTCATGCTTTGCTGAACGTGAGGAGGACATGTCGAGAACTGCAACCTCCGTATGAGTGACAACTCAACATAAAAAAACCCACATCCTCGCCACAGGCCGATAGGTACCACAGGCCAATAGGTAACCTCGTGATAAACCGAGAAAGACCGAAGCTGTCAAGGATTTCATCTCGCTTGGACCCACAGTCAGCGCTCATGGAAGCAGGAATAAAGAGATCAAAGGAATCATTGCATTTGGTGACTCTGCCGCGTAAGACCCCAACATTTTCTGTGTTTTTCCTTTCTCTCATCCTGGGGTTTCTCTCTGATATATTTTGTCATTGGGGGTAGCCTTCTTGAATTCTATTACATGTTTTTCTTTTCTTCGATATATGAAACCCAAGCCTGATGAACTTATAGAGACAGCAAGTAGAATAAGGGTTCGAGATGGGGGTGGGGGAGGAGAGATGTAACAGGGGGTGCGGGGCAAAGGGGAGCTGATGGAGTTCAAGAAGGAAGAGAGTACAGTGAAC